TTCTTGACAACAAGATGGCTCATTTGTGCAACTAGTTTATTTCTTGGGCATTATATAACTGTCAAGGTGCTTTTCTCATCTTCTAAGAGAAAGCTTAGGACACTTGTGGCATCTTTGTAGTTGGTATATAAATTACGAAAGTGTATATTTTAGGTTTATTTTTGCCTTACCTTTTACTTGTATTTTATTTTTAAATTAATAGACTTTATGGGGGCATATTTAGGTTTACAGAAAAATGAGAGAAATTAGGTATACAGAAAATATGAAAAAGAAAAACAAGAGTTCCCATATCCCCCTTTCATTTCCCCTGTTATAACATTTTTCATTAGTAATATATATATTTAAAGCAGTTTATAGCCAATAGCAATACGTTTTTTTAAACTGAACATCAGGTTTTTGTTGGGATTCACTCTGTAGATTTTAACAAACGTATAATGACAGTATATTCATTATAGTATCATACAGAATAGTTTTGCTGACCTAAAAATCTTCTGTGCTTCACCTGTTCATTTATCCATCCTCCTTTCATTTATTACCCCCTCCTATCCCCCTCACCCTGAATTCTGGCAACCATGGAATCATCTTACTATCTCCATAGTTACGCTTTTTCCAGAATGTCATAGTTGGAACCATATAGTATGTAACTTTTTCAGATTGGTTTCTTTCACTTTAGCAATATGTACTTAAGGTTTGTCTTTTCATTCTTTTATCCCACATTTATTATGTGTTCAGGTGTATTTTTCATATTGACCTATAAGCATCTTGATATTCTTTTTGGATTGAAATGGAATAAAAATAGTGTTCCATTCAGCAAATACCTGAAAACCTTCAGACACTGGAGATACTGAGTTCCTGCTTGGATAAGATGGATAAACCGAACATTTAGCAGTATAGTTGAGTGCTGGGGCACACACCTATAATCCGAGCTACTTAGGAGTTGGAGACAAGAAGATATGCAAATTCAAACCCAGCCTCAGTAACTTAGACCCTGTCTCAAAATAAAAGATAAAAGGCCTGGGACTGTACCTCAGTGGTAAAGTGCCCCTGGTTTTAATCCCCAGTGGCTTGCTTGCTCCTCACAAAAAAGGTCGTAAGTGTTGCTTAGATGACAGGTGGAATTCCCTTGGGCTAGATTGACTAGACTATAAGGGTGTATCTGACTAAATTATATGTAACACCTTTTTTAGCACATTAGTTGGGTATATTGTAACTTCCAGGGCCAGTGAATTATGGCTAACATTCTTGGGAGCAATACTCATTTCTTTTTAAGTGATACATTTTCTAACAGTTTCATGAAATACAGTTTTGCTCATACCTTTTGTTTTTAGAGTTTTCTCTAGATAAAAATCATAAAATGTTATATACAAAATAAGCTGTAGCAATTTTAGGATGTTCTTAATTTTGAGTAGAATGATGTGGAAATACTTTCTTTTGAACAAATTCAAAAGTTTGTAGTATGAAGAGAAAAAGATTATAGGCATTATTTATGCTATCATTTTTCTTAGGGGTAATATTGGAGTCTGGCTTTCCTTTTCAATGCACATTAGTAAGATAAGTTGTTTGTAAAAATTCTAGGTTGAAAGAGAAGGAAAATGAAATGAAGAGAATAGAAACTGTGCTAAAAGAGAGGGAGAGCGATCTTTCTAGCAAAACAAAGCTGTTACAGGTGAATATGATAACTTAAAATTAATTATTGGGTGAGTTATTATCTTTGCGTATTTTTAAAATGCTTTTACTGCTATGAAAAGGGACGAGAATGCTGAGCAAGCCTTCCTAAACAAATATTGTGTCTCATTCCTTAGAGATAACTACTGTCATTTTTGGTTAATATCTTTTGAGAAATCACCAATACATAAAATATATAAATGTATATTTACTTGTATTACTTATATAGTTTTTTTGTTTTGTTTTCTTCCCTAATTACCAATGTTTTTGAGGTCTCTCCAGGGAAGTACATTTCTGGCTTTAACTTTGAATAGCCTTTTGTATTATTTATATAATCAATCCCAGTTGGTGTTACAAACAATTCTGTAGTGAATACATTTTGAATAATTTTGCTCCTGTCTCTGTGTTATAAATTTCTGGGTCAAAGGTTTATGCAGATGTTTTATTTTGAAAGAGCTTAAATAGGAAGTCAGTATCTCCTCACCTTCATGTAGTTAATGTTTAGATACTTACAGAACAGTGATTTGAAGTCATTACATGTTTGTATATGTCTTCAGTGTCTTGAACTAGTTTTGCTCACATTTCATACTGTAAGGGTTGGTTCTGTCACATGCCTCTCCCTCCCAGGTAAGCTTATTTTAAATTTTGTTAGGTAATGTTAAATTGCCCTCCAAAAATGTTCCTACTAATTTAGTCTTGCTAATAGAGGCCCACTTCCCAGTGTTCCAACACTGACAAAAGATGATAACATTTGATATTATTCTTGAAAGCTGTTAAGATTATTTTAAATTTGTGTTTGATTGTGAGAGAAGTTAAGCATTCTTCATGTGTTAAATTGATTTGTAATTATATTTTTATTTTTTTCTATACTTTTTCTTCTGGAATGACTTACTATTCTTACTAATTTATTATATGCTGTTTACATAATAATGGAAATTGGCCTTTTCTTTTTTGCAGTTGTAGATGAACAGCATGCCTTTATTTTATTTGCTTATTTTTATGTGGTGCTGAGAATTGAACCCAGTGCCTCATACATGCGAGGCAAGCCTGGAAATAAGCCTTTTGTTATTATTAGTAAGATACTTTTTATATAATAACCTGGAAATTAGCCTTTGTTATTATGAGTTGATTTGTTTGCCTGAGTTTTTCTTTTGACTTTTTTGTGTATGTGTGTGTTTTCCCCTCTCTTTTGGAAGTTTAATATTTTATCAAGAAAGGCTAGGTCCATTATTAAATAATCCATCTTTTCTGAAGTGGTTTTGCTCCCCAGGGCACATTTAGCAATATCTGGAGGTAAAACTTTGGTTTTTGTCAAAGCTGGAAGAAAGGTATTATTGCATCTACTAGATGAAGGCTATGAATTGCCAAATGTTCTACTATATATAGGGCAACCTCCTACATCAAAGAAATATCCAGTCGAAAATGCCACTAGTGCTAATTGAGAAACCTATTTCTACTAATGTGAAATGTCACTCCATACTAAATTCCTATAAATATTTGGGCCTATTCTGTCTTCTATTTTGTTTCATGGAGATGTGTCACTGCCAGACTAGTACTAAGTATAATTACTGTAATTACATATTTAAAATAAGGCCTATCACATCCTTTTAAGATTGTTACTATTTTGGAATTTTTCTAGATTGTATGATGTACTTCAAAAACTTATGGAAAATAAAAGTCTCTGTTGGGTATTCATGTCTTATTTTTGTTGAAATAGGAGGTACAAGATGAAAACAAATTGTTTCAATCCCAGATTGAGCAACTTAAGCAACAAAATTACCAACAGGTAGGTATTATTAAATGTCCTGCCTTTTGCCTTTGTGGTAAAAATTATACAACCAACAAAATTATAATATATAAAAATATAATAAATATATATTGTAAAAATTATACAATAATTAGTCTTGCAGTTTTTTACATTTTCATTGAGATTAAAGAGTTCTATTATTTATACAAACATTTATCAAATTTCCTGTAAGACAAAGCAATTTGCTATGCCATAGCCAAGATAAAATAATCT